CTGGAGGGGAAGAGCTGCTGCTGGAGTCCTGGCTTGTGTCAGCCACCAGGGAGGCACTTCACGTCCTTCTTTCAGCAGACAGTCCCAGCCACCCCCCTCGGGTAGCTGCTGTCAGTGCCCCCATTCTACGGGTGAGGAACCGGGGCTCAGAGAGGTAAGCTGTGCACAGTTGGAAATGATACAAGCCGGGATCCAAGCTCGGGACTGGCTGATCCACACGGGGTGAAGCCCTGCACCCCACTCCCTAGGATGGTCAACCAAACTCCTAAATCTTGCATTTCTCCCCCAGGTCCCTGGCAACTTCCACGTGTCCACACACAGTGCCACAGCGCAGCCACAGAACCCAGACATGACACATGTCATCCACAAGCTCTCCTTTGGAGACACGCTACAGGTGAGCAGGGGACACTCGAGGTGGTGTGGCCAGTGGTGGGCGTGCAGAAGCTGTGTCACCGGGTGTCCTCCCTGGGTACAGGGACATGCCTTCCTCCGGGGTCACTCCATTTGCGGCTCTGCACTCATCGGCCAGCGCCTCGTTCCTCCCGCGTGCTCGGCTGCAGTCCCGTTGGCGGTGTCCTGGGCTTGGGAGCTCGGGCTGACACCTGGGGGCCGGAGAGGGGGCGGGACTCACCTTTAATGACAAGTACCGAGTGCAGCCACTTAAGGTGGGTGGGAACACCGCATTTTGCAGACGTGGATGCTGGGCCTAGAGAAGCCCTCTGTCCAGGGTCAGAGGACTGAGCGCGTCAGTCCGACTCCAGCCCACTGCCCACACAGCCGTCTCTGCCCATGCTCAGTGCCCACCCCAGTAAATAGGGGTAATGTGGCAAATGGAATATTTTGAGAAACCTTATCATGTTCAAGAGGACCACCTTTGGCAGTTCCAGTCGACAGTTTCCTACCCATGGCAGCCGCGCCAGCGGACTCTTCGCTTTGAACTTGCAGTAAAGGCCCAAACGCTCCCACCTGCTCTCTGCCAGCTGCAGGTGGGGGCTCCGCTGCTCTCTCTGCTCCACTCCCACAGCCGTCCTGGAGGTAAATTCTGTCACACCCTGTTGGACAACGGGGATCCAGGCTCAGAAGGGGAACATCGTTGCTCTGGGCCACGTTGCTGGGATTGGAACCCCCAGGTCCTGCCCCACCCCTGCTTGATGAGATTCCTGATTTCCTGGTTGAGGTTGCTCAGTGGGTACCTCCTGGCATAACGATGTGCACACAGGCCCGCACGCGCCCATCAGCGCACACGCGTAGCACCACAACACATACGTGCACGTATCTGCCCAGACACATTCAGAGCTGTGCCCGACATACGCGTGCTTGTGTGTACCCTGAGACTTCCCTGCACACACACCACCTGGAGACGTGCACCGACTCACCCGGGCTGGGGCCTCTCAAATACAGACCCTCTCTCTCTCATGTGCGCACGCGCACACACACACACACACATGCACACGCACACGCACGCACACATGCCCCCACCCACACGTATGTACCATTGGAAACAAGAATTCCCGACCCTGGTTGAATGCTCTCTGTGTCAAGCGCCATGCTTTATAAGCACAGTCTTCCTTTAGTCTCTTAGCAGCCCGAGAGGTAGGTACTGTTACTGTCCCATTTTACAGAGAGGGAAACTGAGTAAACCACAGAGAGGCTGCAGTCTGTTGCAGAGCCTGGGTTCGAATCCAGACAGTCCAGCTTCAGAGCCCACTACTGGCATTGCCTCCCTTGCACGCGTGCCCGAGCACACACCCCCCCCCCCCCGGCACACTCGCACTCCCAGGTTTTCTTCGTCCACTCGTCACGCTTGCTCGTGTTTTCTTCCCCCTGGGTGCCTGTGCCTGGCCCGAGGCACCGTCAACACCTTTCCATTGCTTTGCTGGCCTTGGGGGTTTTCGTCTCGGACACAGAGCTCAGGAGCGGGGGAGGCCTGGCCTCCTGCGTGCCATGGCCAGACTCCCTGCCCACATTCTCTGTGAAGCACCGCCCGCCCTGGACTGTGGGCTCACCCCTGCAGGCAGATTCACGTGGGATCTGCCCCCCACACCCTATCCTCTCTCCATCCAAGGGACTGTCATGGGGAGGTTAGGAGCCTGGGTTCCTGGGCCTGCCTTTCTGGGTTCAAATATTGACTCTCCCACCTAGACAAATTATTTATTCCTGGAAAATTTGCTTTTCTTTCTAGGCCTCAGTTATCTCATCTATAAAATGGGGACAATAGTAGTACCTGCTTCATAGAATTGTTGTGAAAACAGAATGCATTAATAAAGCTCTTGGAACAATGTTTAATTGGTCATTGCAATTAGTTAGTACTGTTGTTGTTATCTGTGCCCTTGTTCAGTGCCAGGCCTGAAGGATAAAACATGCTGCTGGCCTGCAGAGGGCTCACACGTCTGTGGAACAGACAGACACAGGGTGGTTACCCCCGCATGGGACAGGGGCCCTCCATTTTGGGCAACGTCTTAGCTGCCTTGGTACCCAGCAACTCGCCAAATCCTTGCAGCAGCCCTGGAAGGTAGGCACTGTGAACCTGGGTGCACATGGGTAAACTGAGGTACAGAGTCACATGCCCAAGGTCATGCACCTCATTTGTGGCACAGCCAGAATTTGATCCCAGTCTGCACCACAGCACACTCCTTGCGCATGGGGGACTTTTGACCTCTTCAGCCTACAGGGCGCTTTCCCACCTGGAGAGCAGCGTTGTAGATGATGCCTTTTTTAATCTTCACAAAAACTCCCATAGGGTTGCGGGACAGGATTTATTTTCCCTGATAAGGAAACTGGATCAGAGAGGTTTCATAAATTGTCCAGGGTCACACAGCTTATAAGAAACCAGGTGTGTCTGGCCCTGAGTCTTCCTTTGCTGTGCCTCATATAGTCATGTATTCATCAGGCCCTGTGGGAATTCTCTGCTCTGTGCCAGGCCCTGGGTTATAGTGATGAATAAATGATACAGGGTTCTCACCTCCTAGCGAAGAAGAGAGTAAATATAGATAAACATGATAATACAGAGCAAGGATTGCTAAAGATGAGAGAAACTCAGGATTCTGGACAATGGTGTTAGGAAGGGAAGGTAGTCCCCAACCTGGGCTTCCCAGACAAGGTGACCGTTAAAGTGACATCTAAGCCAAGCCCTGAAGGGTGAGAGGGATTTGGCCAGACATGACATGGAAATGGGTCCAGGCAGGGGGCGTATCAAACATCACTCCTCTCCTAGAGCACCCAACTTGTCATTGTCATACAATCCCCTTGAGGCTACTTTCAGAAAAATAGATCAAAAAGTGTGACTCCAGCATGATGTTCTATATGTGAGATGCCAGAGGCCCAGGGAACAGAGTCCTAATGTCCTCAAAGTTGGCTGAAAGGGCTCAGAAGCGTCCACCTGAAGCAGGGAGCTGGGGTTTTTATGCGGCAGGAGACCTGTGTTAGATTCAGGAAGGTGGGGACCGACAGGGTCAGCTTGGTGACTTAGAGCACCCCTCTGCCATGGGGAGGATGGGCCCATGAGGCAAGACTGGAGGCAGGGAGGTGAGGGAAGGGCCCAGACAGAGGCAGGTTAGAGGGGAGAGGAGAAGAGGACAGGCTGAAGAGAAAGGGGGAGCAGTCTCATTGCTGTGTTCGGTGGCAAAATCAGCCAGCCAGCCACAGACCTGAGCTTAGTCACTAGCGTGGAAACCTGATCTTGTAAAGATGCACAAAACTTAGGGCCCACCCACCCATCCATGCATGGATGTCCACACAGCCATTCCCCAAACATTTACTGAGTACCTACTGTGTGCCAGGCCTTGCACATGTTGGTGAGGATAAGCGTGGCCCCTGCCCGTGTGGAGCTTCCAGTCTAGAGAGGAAGACACATGTTAAATAATCATAAAGTTATATTTGAGATAAAACTGTGACACACTACAGTGGAAGGGGACATTCTCCCACTCTGGTCCTGGTAAGCACTGTCCTCGTGGGTCAGAGCCAAAGGGTGCAGGTGGTCATGCCCTAGGCAGCAGATGTACACACTTTCCCTTCCTTTGGCTTGTTGAGAGTTAAGTGCTCAATAAACATCAGCCACCTGAGACCAGGATCAGGGCCCAGGTCACCCACCTGCTGCCGGCTGCTCTTGAGCAGCCCTCTCTGGAGCCTGTGCCCACCTACATCTCTAATGTTTGCTCTTTCCCACACCTCACTCCCCTTCCTCCCTGGGGCCACGTGGGCCTGTCTGCTCCTCAGTCTCCAGGCTGAGGCCTTTGCACATGCTGTTGCCTGATTAACTTCTGGCTTTTCTCCAGATCTTGGTGTCAATGTCACTTCCTCCAGGAAGGCCTCCAGGGTGTCTAGCTCAGTGGCCCTGTTAACGATGTCCGTGGTGGCATGTTCCATGTACTGGGTATGCCTTGTCCTGCTTTAGATGCTCGTTGAGGCTGACCTGATTTCCCATCATCTTCTAAGAAGTGGTGGGATATGGTTTTCAACCCCACTTGACAGCAGCCTCTGGCAGGGGGACATAGCCCGGCCAGCTGCTGTGAGGAGGGGTCTCTTCACAACTGTATGTTCTCCATAGCAGGGAGGCCTGGTGGGAGGCCAGCAGCTCTGGGCAACCCCCCCTGCCCTGGGTTCCTCTAGGGGCCTTTCGGAAGGCTCTGAGCGTCTCGGGAGGGACCCAGACTTTGCTTGCGTTTTCTGCATGGTTATTGGAAAGAGCACAGGCTTGGAGTCAGATAGACCTGAATTCAGAGTTTGGCTAAGCCACTTACAGGCTGGACAAGTTCTGGTGTCTTTCCAAGGCTTGGTTTACTCTTCCGTGAAATGGGTCCAATGATACATCGTTAGGGGGATTAAATGAGATGACACGAAGTGACCAGGACAGAGTAGCACATAGTAGGTGCTCAAGGTGGGAACCAAGCTAGTGCCTACTGTGTGCCAGGCCTGTGCTGTCTCTTGCTCCCCACAAGTTCTCTATAAGACAAACCCTGCTGGCTCCTCCTTTTGCACAGGTGTAAGGTCCCTAGACCAGGTGGTGCCTGGCGGGTCCCCCCAGCCAGGTCCAGGCCTGGAGGTGGCGGTGTCCTGAGGACCCCCCTCTCACTGTGCTTCCCCACAGGTGCAGAACGTCCACGGAGCTTTCAACGCGCTCGGGGGAGCAGACAGGCTCACCTCCAACCGTACGTATCCTGTGTCCCAGCTGGGGTCCCGGGCACAGCAGGCGGGAAGGCAGGAGGGCAGAGGGCACGCCAGGGAGACTGCTCGCTCTCCATGCCCATAGCTAGCCGGGGGGAGGTGGAATTATCTCCATCTCATGGGGAAGGGAGGAAAAGCAGCTTGTCCCCAGGAAGGTATGTGCCAGCCCTTGGCACATCGTGTGCACTCAGTGAGTACCAGCTGTTATCATTATTGTTGTCATTACTGCCACGTCATTGCTCTTAGTTGAGATAATCGCCTGAGATCCCACAGGGGGCAATGGCAGGACCCGAATCCATGCTGGTTCCAAGTGGCACCGTGAGAACGGGTCTGTAGGTGGCCCAGTCAGGTCGGACCACCTGGCTGCCTCCCCAGCGCCCCCTCCTGCTGGAGCCCCTTCCATGGAGAATGGCTCCTCCTCGAGTCCTCTCCCTCCCCTGCTCCCTGCCACCTTGGCCCAGATTAAGGAGAACGCCACATCTCCACACGTGTACATGAGTACACACACCCCTACACGCCTACACACACATGGGGCCTTGGACATGTGCACAGAACGGGCCTGTGCGGCCCGTGTGCCCCGCGTGCCATTGCTAGATCCTGCTGGACAGGTTGCCTGGACTTTTCTTATTTCCTCACCTGAGTTGACCTTTGTCACCTGTATGGCTTTTCTTGTTATTTCCTAAAACACATTTACTCTCCCACCATCAAGGATCCAAGCAAAAGAAAACATCCCTCCATGACCTGTTCCCCAACAAATCAAATTTTTCGTTTTTCTGTGTCCCTGTGAAATCCCTGTCCGTGAGCAGAAGTCATTTTATTTTTCCAAGTCATGGACAGCAGTTTACCTTCAGATTTTTGTGCTTGGCATTATTATGTAGCCACGATTTTATTGCTTTCCAGTTGTAACAGGGGCACAGATGCCCATCTAGAAGCTCGGGTGCGCTTTACTTAGGGCAGTGTCTGATCACCGAGAATGTCTGTTGTCTCCCGTGTTTCAGCACGACGGCAGTGCCCCTGATATGTGTGGTGTTGGCTTCACCTTTCCCAGGTGCCTTCCGGCCGGGCCTGTGCCCATCCCTCCTGCCTCCCGCAGCCGATGGGTATACAGCAGTGCTTCCTGATTGATCAATAGCACCTCCTTGCTCTAATGCAAATGTCTGCTTGTAGCAGGGCTAGAGGACTGTTCATATGGTGGGGTATCATTGTCATTCTCATGTAAGGTAGTGTGTTGTCCCAAAGTGGCCAGCCATATATGCTTGCAACTAGGATGGAGCCCTCAGCTGCCTGACATTGGAAGAGGCTGGTGCTCAGGAGGCCCAGAGCGTGCGAAGCAGAGAGGGTGTGTGGACAGAAAACCTTGCCTTCTCCGGCGCTTTCCCTTAGGTGCAAAGAAAACAGTATTAGATCAAGCAACAGACAGCCGAGGCAGGGCTGGCTCTCGTGTCCTCAGCTCCCAAGCTGGGTCCCCTGCTGGGCCTTTGCCTGTGCAGGTCCCTCCATGCCCAAGTCTTGCCACAGGGCTGCTGCTTGTCATTTAGGTCTCAGTACAAATGCCACCACCTTGTGGAGGGGGACCACCCTATGCGAAGTAACCCCTACACAAGCCTGCTTTTCTTCCTAGCACGTCCCACTCTCTGAACCTGTCTTGTTCTTTCAGCCCTCTGTTGCTCTGGGCTGCCGCTCCAGCTAGCACGTAGCACCGTGCTTTGCCCACCGCCCTGCCCCCAGGACCCAGCGCCGGTGGGTAGGAAGTGCATAGTCCGCGGTAAGAGGATAGGCAGTCACACCCTGGAGGCTGCTGTGCGGGAGCCCCTGCCCGATGGCGGTGCAGCGTGGTCACGAGGACTTTGGACCCCAGGGTTCTCCTCCACTGTTTCCCAGCCCTGTGGCCTTGGGAAAGTCATTTAACTCCTCTCAGCCTCAGTTTCTGCATCTATAAAGTGGGGAGGATCCTCTCCGCCTTGCAGCCTTGCCATGAGGATTTATGAGATGCGTGCAAAGGGTTCGGCACATGGCCTGGCACGCAGTGAGTGCTCAATAAATGTTAGCCACTCTCACCGTCGCCAACAACTACCTCCGGGAACGAGATCCCCTAGGGCAGAATCTAAGGTGAACCTTTCCTACGTGGAATTGTGCCCTATACTGTGGAACTGAAGTGTGCAATTGGTCCTGAAGGAACGACTGGGATTGAAACCAGCTTGTCCTGTGTATTATGGGCTACTGGTTTAAAGCTGCAGATTCCGGGCCCCACCCCAGTGGTGCTGTGGAGACGAAACAAGGCTGGCTGTGTGCTCATAATTACTGCACCTGGGGAAGGTACATGGGCGGTCATTAAAGGATTCCCTGTTTTTTATGCTTGAATGTTGCCATAATAAGGTGTCGAGAGGGAGCACGGAGGCAATGTGGGCCTGCTTGGACCAGATTGGAGCCAGCGGTCTCTAGAAACGGTCAGCTGGCCAGGGATCCGTACAGGTGGCACTAAGGGAAGAGTCTCCAGTGGGCATTTGGCAAGTTGTATCAAAGGCCTTAAAAGTGGTCATTTGCCTTTGAGTCATCCATTCTACTCGTGGGAGAATAAGCTAAGGAAATAATTGAGAGAGTGAACAAAGATCTAGGAAAATAATGTTCATTGTGTCATTGTTTATAAGAGTGAAAATGAGGAGCCACGTCAGTGTCCAGCCACGGGGGAGTGGTGGGGGGCACGGTAACTGCCCACACCATGGGATGCATGCAGCCGCTGACCGAGATGTGTCAGGACCTCGCTGGCAGGCAGGAAGCAAACATTTACTGAGCACCTACTATATGCCAGGCATTGGGCTAGGTTCTGGGGATGGGGAGGTGAGTGAGACAAACCAAACTGTAGAACTTACATTCTGTATCTTGGATCTGAAAATATGTTTATGATGTTCTTAGAAAAAGGTACAGTGTGATCCTATTTTAGGAAAACATGAATATATGTATAAACACAAGCCTGGCAGTTTATGCTGAGAGCGTGAACCAGTTTTCTGAGGATGTTGGATTTATGGGTGATTTGTGTTTTGTGTTTTGTGATCACCTGTGTTTCATATAAATTTCAACAAAAAATATTACAGGTGTGATTTTGGTAAGGCATTTGCTCTTTCATTCCTTCAGGTCTTTAACCCAGGGCGACAGGCATTTGGGACACCGTATGTCAGTGCGGTCTCTGGGCCCTGCTTTAAGTGCAGATTCCAAGCCCACCCTGGGCCCACTGAGTGGGTCTCTCCAGGGATAAGGTTCGGGTGTCTGCCTCTTAATCCCAGGTGATCCGAGTGCTCCTGACACCTGAGAACCATTGAGCGGCGGGGTGTTGGGGCTTCACGGACTTAGCTCGGAGGCTGCAGGGCTTTTCCTGGGTTTTCAGAGGAATCGACTCAGAACAACTCAGGAAGCACTTCCTTTCCTCACTGCGACGCAGCACCGGCAGGGAGAGGCAGGGAGGGAGTGTCAGGGCCGTGAACGCTGCCTGCATCCCAGCCCTCTTTCAGAAGACGACTGACTCAACTCTGAGACCAGTATTAGAACCCACAGGTCTGAATTTCTGTGTTGTTGTAGCTCTGTGGTCCCTGACCTGAGATTCTAGAAGGTCCACGAGCTTCTCTTAGCATCCCAGAGGCCCAGGATGATCAGCAGGCCTTTCCTGGGTGATACTCGGCGGCGTTGGGCCAGCATTATATCAGCCCAGCGTTTGATTCCGGTTACCTCATGCTTATCAGCAGCTGATTCATCTGTTCTCCCATTCATACCTCTGTCCAGTCATCCTGCCATCCGTTCGTTCATTCAGCAAGCATTTGCCGCGGTCCGCTCCGTGCCAGGCCCTGCACAGGGCTCTGGGGACACGCAGATGAGTAAGGCTCCACCCTGCCCCCTGCAGCCTCCCGGTCCGGAAAGAGCTGATCTGCCATTAACTGAAAACAGGGAAGAAGATTGATTAATCAGCTGTGTAGATGCGGTGTTCTGGTTGGTGGGCTCTTTCTTTTTAAAAGAGAAACAATTTGTTTTAAACGCGAACATATTCAGACAATACCAGAGGGTGCACAATGAAATGGGGTCTTTCTCAAATTCTCTCTTCTTCTCCGGAGACTAAAGCTGCTTGTGATTTCTTGGGTATCTTTCCAGATAATTCTGTACATTCACACACCAAGAGAGTGTTCACATACCTGCCTCCAGTTCATGGAAGCAAGTCGTGCACCTGTTCTTTTTGCTTCACCACACCTCTGGGAGGATAGCCTCTCCTCGCACCCACTCTTTAATGTGGCCCTATTGATACACATTTGGGTTAGTTCCAGAATTCTGTCTGATATTATATACAGTGCAGGGGTAAAGACCCTGATGGGTAGAATCTCTTAGGTCCTGGAATCTAAGGGGAGAAGACGAAGAGGGGTCGTTTGGTGGTAAAAATACAGGGAATGAGCTTCCTGCAGTACCAAGAGGGTTTAGGGTTAGGATTGAAACCACACAGAGCTGTCAGCAGGCAGTGCCGCCCCCCGCTTCATCTTGCTGTGTGTCCTTCCTGCAGCCCTGGCCTCCCACGACTACATCCTGAAGATCGTGCCCACGGTTTACGAGGACAAGAGCGGCAAGCAGCGGTACTCCTACCAGTACACGGTGGCCAACAAGGTGCGTGGGCGATGGCCGGCAGCTGCATGCAGCCGCGCCCTCTGCTGGCGGAGAGCAGAGGTGACGGGGGCTGCGCCCATGCAATGATTTCTGCTGCTTCCTTTTTGGAGGCCTTTCTTGGGGGTCTGCCAGGGCCAGGCTGTGTCTCTGGGTAAAGAAGAAAGGCCTAGTCCCTGCCATTGTCACGCTCTCAGGGTCAAGCAGAGAAGATCTAACCAGGAGATAGGGTGTCATCTGTTTGAGAAGGAGAAGGCAGGCAGCCTCCCCCGAATGCCCCAGGGTTGCAAATGTCTCAGCGGCCCAGCGTGGGTCCCCGCCCTTCAGACTCTGTGATTGGTCAGCACACAACGACGCTCCGGCTCTGGGGCACAAGCACTTTATCCAAAATTTTGAGACTGGTGAGTCACACCACGTGACTGTTGATTAATTTGCTGTTGATTAACAGGGGTGTCCCAGGACCCCAACACTCAAGTCATGGAGAAGGAAGCAGGCCCCGGGCGGGAGGCAGAGCACGGTCAGCGTCAGCGGAGTGGGAAGACCCGATAGTTAGCGGTTTCAAGCCAAGATAGCCTGCGGCTTGCTCAGAGATGGTCCTGCCAGTGCCCGGGGATGCTTGAGGCCTGCTGGTTGAGATGCCTCTGCCAGGCCCTTCTGGAGGGGTTTTTCCATTTGCCACCGGAACTCTCCTTTTTCGTCTTTTCAGGGCTTCCCAGAGACCTTATAAGTAATACATTGTTTAGCACAATTAACTATATTAATGTTATAGTAGGAGTGGTAGCTGTCATTTATTGAGTACTTACAGTGGACAAGACATGCCAAGCTCTCTGCCTTCATCATCCTTTTTAACCGTCATGACAGCTCTGACACTGGGACTATTTTGTCCCCATTTTACAGATTTGGCCCTTGAGTCACTAAGAGGTGGTTGTAGAGCTATAAAGTGGCCGAGTGGGGATTAGAACCAGGTTCTCCATGGGCTCCCGAGCCTGGCCTCTTGATGACCTCACCCGCTCAGTCTGAGCAAGGTGCTGTGTCCGCCCACCTGGGAGCTGCTCTCTGTCAGGTGACTTAGTCCCTGTGCTCCAGTCCACCCTACATGGGTGTTCAGCATAACTCTCCAAGGAAAATCCTGTTTCTTTTACTCACTGTTTCATGATGGGCATCTCATCATAACCCTCAATTGCTGACAGCAGCTAACAGATGGGAAAACACAGATGCAGTCCAAGCAGGGAGAGCGTAGGCTCGGGACCACACTGCCAGTTCAAATCCCAGCTCCGTCACTCGCTAGCTGTGTGACCCAGGACACATCACGTGACCACTCTCTGCCTCAGCTTATTCATTTGTAAAATGAGGATGGTGTCAAATGAGGCAATGTTTTCAAAAATCCTTAGCCCACAAAGAAGGCTTTGGGCAAATGATATTGACTGCTACTGTTTTTCACTGTTTTTCTCTGACCCTCAGCTCTGGGCTTGTGACCCACACAGTCACCCTGCCCCATCATCCCTCGCTATAGAAAGCTAATCTTTCTGTGCTCAAGGCTCCTTCCCCCAAGGCTGTGGCAAGGACCCAGCAGCGAGAACCACTTGCCCGGCGTTCTCTGTGGCCCTGGCCCCACTCACCCTGTGAGCGAGCCACAGTGCTCCCGCAGGGCGAGCAGGTCTCAGAGCTGCCTACGCCCAGCATTTGGGGCTGGGGGTGGGCGCCCCGGTAGTGGGCTTTGTCTCCAGTTGTTGCAGACAAGTGAGAAGAGCCCAGAGGCTTTCAGCACCCTCGAGTGGCCAACCTGGAAAGATCCCACAGGTCATCATCCCGACCCCTCAGTGTTTAGATGGGGAAACCAAGGCCCCAAGGGAGGCAGGGACTGGCCCAGAGATGCACTGTTAGCTCAGCCCCTTAGCGTCCTGTAGGTCCCTGCTGTGTGCAGTCTCAGGGAGGTTTGTGGCAGGGCCAGGCCCTCCCGCTTTCCAGTTTCGTGATGTTCCTCACTCCCCACATGGCCTTTACACTCATCTCTCTCTCTCTCTGTCACACACACACACACACACACGCATACACATACACACACATGCATGCACGCATATACACATACACATATACACAGCTGTTGGGATGCCTTCTTGTCTGGCGTGCGTGGCTCAGAATGTCTCCTCCTCTGTAAGTCTTCCAAACGCCCTTGGAGAGAATTCGTCACTCGTTCATGGCCCCCTCGATGCTCCATGTCCCTTCATCCCACATACATAATGTTACAGTGTTGGGGTATTTTTATGTCCAGCCTCCTTCTCCAGACTGTGGCCCCCTCGGGGCAGAGGGGAGGGCTTGCTCACCTCAGGGTCCCCAGCAGCCAGCAAGGCCAGCCAGGCGCCGGCACAGCAGAGCTGCCCAGCAAACTGTCATTGAATGAATGGACGGCTTCGGCGCAGCCTAGGAGTGGAAGGGGGAATAGGCCTTTACCCAGACTGAGCCCAAAATCACACTTCTCCTTTTACATCTCTGCTTTCACATTCGTATTTTGATTCTGGTGCTGCTTCCAGCTTGCATGGTCAATTTCTAACAGCCACAGGGGCAAAAACTCCCAGATGCTGATGGCAGAGCCTGGGACCCGCAGGGGAAGGGACGTGGGGAAGGGGCTGGGGGAGTCTGGCTCCGTGGGGGAGAGAGGGAGGACAGCCCTTTCTCGAGGGTTGCCAGGGGCCCTCCGCAATTCAACCCACACCCACCGTGAGACAGTTTGTGCTTCTGATTCTCACGTCCTCCCCACTTCCTGTACCCCAGGAGTATGTTGCCTACAGCCACACGGGCCGCATCATCCCTGCCATCTGGTTCCGCTATGACCTCAGCCCCATCACGGTCAAGTACACAGAGAGACGGCAACCGCTGTACAGGTTCATCACCACGGTGAGTGCCCGCCGTGGGCTCCCTTCCCTCGGGCCCCTGTTCTTGCCGAAACAGGACGGAGCCCTGCAGGGCTTGGGGCTCTGGCTGAAAGCAGCAGGCTTGGACCCCAAGGATGTTGAGCGATGTTATCAGAAACACATCAGTACCAGGGACGTTTCATCCAGAAAATATTATCCAGGCAGGAATGCCGCTAGATCCATTTAATTCCTGTAGCAAATCTACCTATGACTCCACTGGATGTTTATGATTTTCTCCAGTTTTGTTTTTACAGAAATTATTCTTAGCAGGCTTTATCATTTCATGTCTAAATTTTACAGTGAAGATTTCACTCATTTTTTTTCCATGCCTAATTTCCAGTTATGGCTGCTGATGTGGTCGGGTCTTTGCTTTCCTCCCTCCCTCCCCGTTCTCTTTCTTTCTTGCCATGTCTCTACCATGCCCAGTTCTCTCTGGGCAGCTTCAAGCTGATGTCAGTTTTCTTCTATGCTGAATATTTCTCTCAAGTATACTGTTTCCTGGCCTCCCATTCATGTGTCCTTGGGGTCGGAACAGGAGAAGCAGAGTGCCCTACTTCAGCCAGGAGGCCCAAGAGATGTTGGGTAAGCCAGAGTCTGCTGAGGTGAAAGAGACAGGGTAATCCTTCCTACCTCACAGATTTGGAAACTGAGGCCTAAAGACAGACATAGCATTGAAAGGCCCTTATGCTTCTTTACCTCTTCACACTTCCAATAGTGGTTCAAGATCAGTGGTCTAGTCCCGGCTCTTTCATTTCCTGCAGTAACTAGGTCAGTATTTGTCAGGACTCTGTTATGGAAGATCCAGACCCATGCCTGGAGCTGGCTTGGGGGTTAGGTGGGCCTCAGGCATGGTGGGATCCAGCTGCGAACATTGTCAGGACTGTATCTCTCTCCATCTTTTGTCCCTCTGTGCTGGCTTCATTCTCAAATGGAACTTCCCAGTAGAAATGTCCTGTTTCTCAGTAATTCCACCCCAGGGCCTAGAAAGGCCGGTGCTCTCATCGGCCCATCCTTGTGACCTGGGGAGTGGAGGGCTCTGGTTGGCCAGGCTTAGGCCTCGTGCCCCCTCTGGAGCCAACCCCATCCAGATCATAGGGACAAAGATTGTGAGCCGTGGGGGTCCTCAGGGGAAGAGTCAGGGGCCAGCGTCTGGAAGAGGGAAGAGTGGTGCTGGGAGGCAGAGGGTGGGATGTCCCTGACAAGCCTCCCTCTTCTAGTCTACGACACAGCAGTGGTCGTGCCTGCTCTTGCCACCTCGTAGGGCCTTGTGGGATTCAAGGGCGATCACGAAAGGGGAAGCTCTGTGCAGATATAAAAAGGGCGTTATACGTCTGGTGCCTGTATATGGACCTTGCAACAGCTCTTTGCTGTGCTTTTTGACCACATAACAGTGAGGCCTCCTGTGAGCGGGAGGTTCTGAGAAGCCAAGTTGTTGAACTTCTGTTCAACACACAGCATGTAACGTAAAGCTGAGACACCACTCAGATTGGGAAAAGATATTTGCCACACACACGAGAAAGGAGTAATCTTCAGAATTTATGTATCAAGAACTCCTACAGATCAGTAAGAAAAAGTTAAACAACCAAAAAGAAAAATGGGTAAGGGCTGAGGACCATCCGTTCACAGAGGAGCCCCTAGTGGCAGAAAAAAGGTGCCCAAGAGTTCACTAGAATTAGGGAAATGAGATTGAAAACAACAAGACCCAATTCAATCCTATCAGACTGGCAGAAATTAACAACCTGCTACCGCAAAGATTGGGAGGATATGAAGCTGTAGGGACCCATGTGTACTCCGGGCGCATAGGGAAACTGGTGCAGCCACTCTGGAGAGAGGTGCACCAACCCTGTGGCCCCCAGATCTCGGGATTTGCGAGCAAATGATTTTACCCAAGCCCCTCTAGCACACCCCAAGCGGGTCCTGGTGCTGACTCTTATTTCGGTGCTCCTGCTGCCTACCCAGAATAAGCCAGACACCAAGTGGGTGCCCCGGTGCCTCCATGCAGACGTGGTCTACTCCTCAGAGGCCCTGGGGCCCGTAGCATTGATGGCAGCAGAGACCCCCGCACACACCTCACTGCAGGGTGGAGAAGGTTCTTCCACGTCCCCCTTTCCGTTCACTCCTGTACGGAAGGCAGCTGAGACTCTGGGTGTTGAAATCACTTGGCAAGTGGCTGAGAAACAAAGTGACTTCATTTATTCGTTTAGCATTTGCTAGAATGTACCATGCCTACCCTGAAGGAGCTCCCAGCTGGTGGGGAGGATGGGCGAGCACGCAGAGAAGGGCAGTCCCATTCGGCGGGGCTGTGGTGGAGATGTGCACCAGGCACAGCCCGCAGAGAGGAGGCGCTGTCCCTTTTGTCTGGAAAGCTCCAAGAAGGAAACCCTGAGATGGGTCTGGAAGGGTAAGGAGGAAGAGTCCGAGGAAAGGGAATGTGTGTGCAGAGGTGCCCAGTATAACATGTCTTATGAAGCCATGTGGCTTCCTTTGACAGGTGATGGACAGGTCAGGTTGAGGTGAGCCACTGACGTTCTGAGAGCAGGAGGTTCCAAGAAGCTACAGGGGAAGACCCTTCCTTCATCCCCCAGAGCCCAGACGCCTCCATGACTCCTTTTCCTTCTCGTCCCCCCCTTGGCCACCAGCCTGTCCTCCGTCTCTGCCCGTCTACCTCCACTCAAGCAGGGCCCAATGGAGCCCCCAGGCTTGTGGGCCACGCTGCTGCAGGGAGCCTCCTGACATCATTAGCCTGGGTGGTTTTTCTGAAGGCCCCATGCTGCCACCTTGGTTGCCATGGCAACCGAGGGGTCAGCTCCGAGTGAGCGAGCCAGCCGGCTGTCCCTGGCAGATGGCGTCATTGTGGGGCTTCAAAGGCCCTTGTCACAGGGCAGCAGATGCGGGGATGACGCTAACACTCAGACACACACATACACACACGACACAAAGATCCCTGGGAGCCCTCCGAGGGTGGGGTGGGGCCGGGGTAGAAGTGGAGGCACCTGCTGTGGCTTCTCTTTCTCTCCTTTTAAAATCAAACACTTGCGTGCAAAGCCCCAGCCCCAAATGGTGGGCCTCTGCAAATAGCTTCTCACAGGGGCTGCTGCCGAGAGGGGCTTAGGCCAGGATGTCGTCATGTGGCGGCCGCAGGGCGGGGAGGCAGCTGTGGGTGGGCTGGAATGAGGGCAGGTGGGGCCACCCAGATATACCACCAAGTGTCCAGTACCTGGCTTATTCCAGGCTGTCCCCCAGGGTCTTGTCGTCTGGGAAGGACTTGTTTCCCCCCAGCCTCAACGGTCCCTCCTCCTGGACGCCTTCAGCCAGGCTGTCTGGAGTTCCTCTCTCCAGGCACCCAGGGCACCCTGCTCAGACCTGTGCTGTGTGCTGTACCAGAAAATTCCACCGCCAAGGGAATAAACAGATCGCGTGTGACATCATGCGAGTAATCCCCTTCCAAGTGCTCCCCTCCCACACACCCACATTTGTCCCCTGCACTTGCCGAAGCTCCTTCTCTGAGATTGCCTTCAAGTGGGTTGTGGTGACAGATTGGATGGCTTTGGAGGTGTCAGATCTCTTTGCTTGCATGTTTTATTTTATTTTGGAGGAACAGCCAGAAGTCACCAAGTGCCAAATTGGGCCAATATGGCTGTGACAAGTTTTACCCACCAAAAAGTACCGGATGGCGAGGACATCCTCTTGTCGAACGCTACTGAAAACCCGCCATTCATGAAGAGTTGTGCAGCTCATGTAACTCAGGTGGCGCTCGGCCCCCTCGGCCAAGGCTTATCCTGGGAATGAGGGAGGTTGCCGTAGGAGGCCCACCTGCCAACACTCCTCTCTGCCACCTTCCCACAAACTCTCCCGCGAACTCTAGACTGCACTTCTGGTTGCCAGGTCTGCTTATAACCTTCAGGTCTGATTTACCTCTGTCCCCACCTTCCGGCATAAGGCCTGGACTGGACACAGGTGCTCAGAAATGTATAAGGGACAGGCGCTTAAAGAAGTGATCATTAGCCAGGCATGGTGGCATGTGCCTGTGGTCCCAGCTACTTGAGAGGCTGAGGCAGGAGGATCGCTTGAGCTCAAGAGTTTGAGGTTGCAGTGAGCTATGATGATGCCACTGCCCTCTAGCCAGGGCGACAGAGCAAGATTCCGTCTCTTGAAAAAAAACAAAAAAGACAAAGAAGTGATCATATAGTTACTCTTATTAAGCACCTACTACTTGCCGGGTAATTGTACAATTATCTCCTTTAACCCTCCCAGCAACTTTCCAAGGCAAATGATATTGTTCCTGTTTTATAGACAAGTTGAACGGAGGCTCAGGGAGGTAAAGAAACTCATCCACGATCACACAGCCAGTAAACGGCAGGGCTGGGATCCGACCCCCGCACCTGCCTCTGCGGCATCCCCTGCCACCTGCCCCAGCTTGGGAGCTTCCGTGTTCCAAAACAAGGGTTCTCAAGGGTGTTGCAGCAAAAGCGGCCCCGGAAGTCGCGGAGCCCTTGGTAGGACACGAGGATCATTTGATACAGTGGCTTTCATCCTGGGAACCAGGAAGCAAAGCAAAGCTGTGAGCATGCATGCTGAAATCACAGCCACACTCATATGACCCGTAAAAGCGAGCAAATGTCCCTCGAAGGCTACTCTGCTGATAGTTTGCAAGTTTTCCTGCCCCTATCTGATTACCTTTTGTTCATCCGTTTGAACTTCTGCAAGCATTTGCCAGAAACAAAAGGCAGCAGGTTCTGGGCCAGGGGAGATAAAGGGGTGGGGAGTTGTTAAGAAGAAACGACAGGAGACTGAGATTTTACCTTGTGTGAGTTGGAAAAAGACAGCCTTGCCGCTGGAGTGGCAGGACAACCTTCAGAGCCTCCTGTGGGTAGCCGGAGCCTCTCCTCTCTGCCCCGACCTGTCCTGCTCAGACTTCCCCAGTGCCTGTCCTCCCCAGACTGCGAGCTCCAGGAAGACTGGGTCTTGGTCGTCTCTGGTCTC